TTTAATGCTTTGACATGGAGCCATACACCAAAGGAGCAAAAGTCTGAAGTGGGTGACTTGAACTCTTTAGAAAGGAAGGATAGAAGGAAACTTGAAGAGAAGTACCAGTATAAAAAGGGGAGAGAGTAATAGAAATCTTGCATTTTATTTTTGACAGAATTTTCATTTTTGTAATGTACATGCTAACTAAAATGAAAACATGCATACACTGACTTTTTACATTTCATGAGGAGTTGTGGGTATAGATCTTCACAAAAAAAGGACTATATAATTATATCATACAGAGAACATGAGTATACAAGGGTATACATGTTGTTCTCCCTGGATTTGTACTCCTTGTCACTACTGGGGCTGATGGTAATTCTTTTAGGCATTGTAGCTATACGGGAAAACTTTAATTGGGTATCAATATTCATGGTTATTTACCTAATTTTGAACAAGTTGGCCTGAATGTTTGTGAATTCATGCCATGTGAACTACATGCTGATAAGCAGGGCTTTGCAATTTTGTAGTAGTTTGCACATGCCTTGTGACCTGAGCTATTTTCCTTTTGAAGAATGACAGCTGATGTGCACCCTGTCATGTTGTCCCTCCATGGGACAGGTGAGCTGCTGGCCTCCTGTCACTCATCTTCGGAAACTAGGGCTTTTGCAGAAGGTTTTCTGTTGCAGCAGTGATAGTGTGGGTAGGCAATTCCTGTTTACAGACGATGATTCTCTCACCAAAGGTGCACAAATCTCCATGCAATACTATTTTTTTTTAATTTTACTTTGTCACCAAGAAAGCACATTCCCTTAGGTTCTGTCTTTTTCATGATTACCCTGCAGTGCCTGCAGCTCTGTCAGATGTATGGAGTCAACCTGGAGAGAAAATCAGGTATAAATGCCAACCAACTGGCAAGTCCTGGGTTGGGCATCCTGCACCGAGCTCTGTGACGAGCGAGCTGCAATGTGGCTGTTGGGAGAGATGTGGTGTAGTCTGAGTCCATGTAAGTTGCAATCACTGTAAAAGTAGATGAATCCCTCAAATCTTTTATCTCCTAGCACCTTTTATCTATTTCAGCTCTAAGTTTGTAATTCCTGGAAATTTTTACTGTAAATATCTGTGACCATATGGGCCCCGAAGATGAATCAAATATTAAACATAAACAGCTTGTGAAGCTGTTCTATCCATTAGAAAAGCCACAACTCCTCACAGAGTACATAATCCACCTGCTCTGACTGATACTACTTAACAGAATAGTGTCTTCTGAATGCTCTTGTATTTACCACTCATGATGCAGACCATATTAACACTTTCTACCATAAAATTACTGCCTTGCATTCACAATTTCTTTTGGAAACTTCTCATTTGGAGTCCTAACCCTTTGGCCAGAACTCCAATTTTATGTCATTAGGATATTACAGTTCAAAATGTTAAATCATGTAATTGCACAACACATCAAGGTTTATGTCTGATGTTAATGGCTGACTCAAAATGGTGTTGAGGAAGTTTAAAGCTAAGATGAATTCTGACTATTTTTGTTATCACCCTGCATGCCATTAGTTTAACGACATACAGGCCTTTAAGTCATAACCATTAGTTCCTATAAATTAAAGAAAACCACACGATACTGTTCTCTTCCCTACTTTTGCTAGTGGCATAAAGATAATGGGAAAGTCTTTTTATAAATACTTTTTTTTTCAAAAGGCAGTTTTTAAAAGGAAAAAGTAATGGATTATTGTGTAAAATTTGCATGATTGGGAAACTGCTTTAAATAGACTATAACCTGAAGAAAGTCTGCCAAACTTGAGTTATATTTCTCAGATGTGAAAGCTGCATGGTAGTTTACTCTCACACCGAAGAAATTAAGAAATGAATAAGCAATATTTTTATCATGTAGTGAAAAAAGCAAACTTTCATTTATGGCAAAAATTCAGCCATCTTCTGCCATGACTAATTTTAACAGTCAAATTCCTTATTTACAAGCATTCATTAACCTAGGCAAATATACAGAATTGTGGGCATCAAAAGCAGAGAGCAGGCGGACAATTCAGCATGGTAAGTCTACAGAGAAGCACAACTTTTTCAGTCATCTTCTCGCATTTTTACCATCCTGTTGTTTAACTGTTTCTTTGCCACTAATGCTCAGAAACAGCTGCAGGGCCAGGTACTTGCTCAGCTACCACAGACTCTCATTAATAAGCCTGTGGGAGCTGATCTTCATCAGAGCCTCCCCACAGAACTATTACATGAGTAAGAAAACAACTGCCCAGATGTCTGATCAGTGCCTAGTAATTTCTTGTCCTTGAAGTTTTTTTTCCACATAAATGAGCACTGTTGTGACTCTCAGACCTAATTTGTATTTTACTCCCTACTGAGCTACTGCATAATGTCATCTACATGCAAGGGGCAAAGTCCCAGCAGCAGAGGATGAGCTGATAGGGCAAGTATAGGTTCCTCTCAGGTACGGTGTTGAATGCTCCCCAGCTGCATTCTCCTGTAAAACCATGATGGAGCCACGACTTTCCCTTAAGGGGACGCTTTAGTTATCACTGGCTACGGGATGTCCACACCAACATCACCATGAAGAGGAAGGAGCCACTGGGATCCCACCCAATGGACAGCCAGCCTTAGCTTTTGAGCCTAGAAGGCACCAGCAGCACAGGGATTCGTCCTTGCAAAAGGGATGTTCCCCACTCGTATGTGCTAATCCAGAAGCAGAAGATAGCATAAGCCTGAAGGCAGATCTCAGGCAGATGAGGGGGAAGAGAGGATGGGAGCATGTCTAATATTCATGGCTCCTTGTTATGAGGACTTTGACTTCACACTGCAAGAGCAGCTCGGAAAGCTGAGAGGAGTATTGCTTATATCCTTAGTCTTCTTGTCTGTGTGGAAGGCATGCTAGTGATATTTGCATGTGTCAGTACTTCAGCACCCTGACCATATCCAAGAGATGCATGGTTACTCTGCATATAGACTGATGCTGATGAGTAGTTCTCCACTATCTCTTAACCTGAAGTGGGACAAGAGAACACAGTTTATACGGTAAGTGTCAAAGCTCTCATGTGTGTTCAGGGTGGCAACATATGCAGATGAGGAAATGCTGGGGGGCTGCAAGAGGATTTAGACTTGCCCTGTTGTTGCTTAGCAGAAGCTTTTTATGAAAGGGGAGAGAATGTCCTTTTTAGAAGTCAAGTTCACTCTTTTTCTTTTAATTTGAAAGACAGTTTAAAAAGTGGTGATCATTAGGCTTGACTGTGAAGGGAAAAGTGGGGTAGGTCTCTTTTTGTTGAGTTCTGGTTTGTCTTGAACCCAGTGGTGTGGTATGTTTCTGTGTTGAATCCAAGGAAATTGAGCTGCTGAATGATTTTTTTTCTGACATGCTGAGGACCAAATGTTTTGGCAAGGCCCTGTGCCAGCAATGTGAGAGGTGATGAGGCTCCAGAAGCTGCTTTTTCTCAAAAGGTGCCAAAACAGATGAGTTTCTTTGATACAAATAGTTGTTGTGTACATGAGCTCTGTATAGTGTGGACAAATCAGACACAACGGCAATGCCAAAAGTACTTGTGGCGTAGCTGTGAATGCCCTTCTGATAAGTACTATAATTTTCAAGTGCAGAGGAATATTATCCTTACAGAAGGGCCACAGGGACAGTCCTTGAAACTGATGCCCTCAGTTTACCTGCAGAACAGATGTACACATGCAATTGCAGGTGACATACCCTTTCCTAAACACACAACACTAGTATGCTCCACCCAGGTCTGGAATAGTGTGTGAAGTTCAATCTTCCAGTCCATTTATCTTTGGGCCGAGGGTGCTGACTGCAATCCAGCAAGCAGGGGCCTCTGTGCTGGTGCTGTCAGGTATACAGATAATGGTCCTTCTAGAGCAGGACTGAGACCAGCTATTTTTGTATAACACAGGCTGCCAAACAGCTTTTGATTTCCAATTCAGTGGTGAAAGGCTCCTAATATCTCTGCTATTATTAGAAGCAACCTACAAAATTACAAAAGTGGTGGGTGAGTTGAATGCAGAATCCTGCATCTGGAGACAGTCAGTGAAACTAGCAGGGGATCAATTTGAAACAGATAAAAGAAAGTACTTCTTTAGCAGTCAGTAGTGAGCTTCAGCCACACAGTGCTGGAGAAGCCGACAATATCAGCAGGTTTAGAAGGGATTAGACAGTTCCAGGGACAACAGGCCCATTAAAAAGACAAGGCAGGGACGTGGCCTCTGTGGTATCTATCACATCAGATACTCAACTGGGATGCTGGGGGAGCACAAGGGGAAGGGCCTGCAGAAGTAAGCCAAGCTTGCATACACACAAAAAATATTTCTCTTCTCACAACTGTGTGATAAAACTACTGGTCCGAGACAGTTTCATGTTCTTAATCTAGAAATGTGTTTTATCCCCAACGCACTGCATGAATATTCAGTTACTACACCATTCTAGATTCCCATGAGCTGACTAATGAGCTCAAAGCAACACAATTAAACAAGAACTAGGAGTCTTCTTCATTCCTGACTCTGATCCTTAGTCCACTGGTGCTTTGCATTACAGGCAGTCCCATTACACCTCATTGCCAGTACTCAGCACTCTCCCCTTACTGTGTGCTGTGCTAACAAATATGCCATATCACAGACATTCATATTACAATGCACAATCCTAAAGGAACCAAATGAACAAATCTTGCATGAGGTACAGAAAAAGATGGAGACAGTGAAAATTAAATGGTAATGAAATACTGTAAAACTGAGTAACACAATAACATCCCATCTACAGCTCTAAAAGCTAAGTCATGCATAGTGCAGCAATTATGGCAATTTTAAGCTTTCTTAGATTTTTGGAGGCTGGAAACCAAAACTTCCTCTTGCCTCTTGCGTTTATTCTTTCCCAGCAATGTAGGAAGTAAGCCAGCATGCCAACTTTTAAGTATAAAATGAAATGAAACTGATTATTGGTTTTAAGCAATTGCCCTCAAGGCCACCCAACAATAGTGTTTCTAAAGCAGTCCTACCTTTGTTTTCCAACTTGAGCTCCTCTGCTAGCAAGCTGTCTTGTCTGTTTCCAAGCACAAATGCCAGAAATGAGAGGATCAGGGCATCCAAGATTCCAATAATTGCCAGGATATATGCCCAGCGGACTGAACAAGCCCCCAGCGTGTACTTGTCTGTCTTTTCACCACACATCCGTTTTACCTCATCTGAATCCCAGCCATCAGGAAAAATCATACAACCCAGGACGAGACAGGCAGCTTGGAGAAAAAAGAAAAGGAGAACAATGGGATAATGAGACGAAACTTTCATTTTGATGAGAGTCTACACAGTTATCATTAAAGCAATGCACTTTTTCATTCCGAGTTTCAAAGCTAGGCTACTAAAAAACAAGTCACAGAATTACATGCTGTGATTAAGTATTTAATACAAAAACCTGAGATACAGTATCAATTGCACACCTTGCTTAAAAAACCCTGTTACATCCTGAGTCCCTGGTTAGATTTCATATCACTCCAATCACATTTTCCTAGTGAGACCGATTTCTTCATTTTAAGATGAAAAGATCACACAAAAACAAAAGGGCAAAATGAATAACAACCTGGATATTGAAAGGAAACACTGGGTTACTGTCAAGAGGTCAAGCAAACCAACCAGGTTAAAATAGAGGAAAAAAAACCCCTATAATTTCTGGTAAACTAAGTGCTCGTAACACATATAGATAATAGAAAAGGATTTTTTTTCTTGTCAGTTGGCAGTACCCCTTTAACTGAAATGTGTCTTATGCATAAAATTTGTGCTCTTCAAAACACAACTAATGACATTGTTCTGCTAGGAAAAATAAGCTATCAACATTATTGTCAGCTTCTGATCTGGTTTACCTGTGGAGCCAGCCCATGCGATCTCAAACACAAAAATGTGCTGATCCTTTCAACACCAAAAGAAACAAAAAGCCTTTACCTGCATGGAAGACAGCCAACATGATCACTAGCTCTGCTGGGCTGGGGCAACTGTACTGTGGCAGGAACAAAAGCCACAGTTGTTCCCATGGGATTCTTCCAAGAAGATCCCTCACGAGGCTAAAGTTACCTCTCCTGAAGTTATAATGTCAAGCAGCACACCACTTCTTGTGAGATCCTCCACTACCTTTGACAAGAAGTTGTCAGCAAGGTCTTCCAGGAACCTCCTGGACTGTTTGCGCTTTGCTGTATTTCTTCTCCAGCAGATGTCAGGGTAGTTAAAGTTCCCCACACGAACCAAATTCCTGTGACTTTCAAACTGCTTTAAGCTGCCCTTGGAAGGCCTCATCCCCTTCCTCTCCATCAGGTGGCCTGTAGCAAACACTCACAACAATGTCACCCTTACAAGTCTGCCATTTTATCCTAACCCATAAGTACTTGACTTGCTCATCATCCACCCCAAGACAGACCTTGATACATCCCAAATGTTGCCTCACATAGTGGGGCACAGTGAGTGAGGCCACTGCCTTCCCAGTCTGTCTCTCCTAAGCAGTGCATAGCCCTGCATGACAACATTCCAGTCAGGTGAGCTATCCCATGCCTCCATTGTTGCAATCAGATCAAAGCCCTGTGACTGCACACAGATCTCTAGTTCCTCCTGTTTGTTCTCCATTCAGTGTGCATTTGTGTACAGGTATTTTATAGAATTATTTGATGGTGTCAATATCCCAGTAGGGGTGAAAAAAGGGATGCCCCATAGTCCTGCCTTGTGGTTGCGTCTTTGCCTGCTTGTGCTTGATTGAGATAGTCTCACCTAAGTCTTTGTTACTAGTGTGGTAGCCATAGTTCTTTCCTTCCCACATCTTTTCTCTCTCAAGCCTGGCTATGTCCCTGTTCCCCTTTAAATCTAGTTTAAAGCTCTCTCAATGAGCTCTGCTAACTCGTAAGTTCCTTTGAGAAGGTGAGACCCCATTTGTTGCCAGCAGGCTTGGTGCTGTATAAAGTGACCTCTGATCAAAACCCCACAGGCTGTCCTGGTAACACCAGTCTTGAAGCCAGGTGGAGTCATCTTCAGCAGGAGAGAATGTAGAAATACGTAAGAAAAAATATTTAAAAAAATATTATGTTGAATGGGTTAATTCCTCAGTTTCTATTGCATTTAAGAGAATCAGAAAACCCATATGCTTTCAGTAGTTTTCTATACTGTCTTTTCGAACATTTCCAGCATTAGCCATTCTTTCTTAGTATAGCTGATGAGATACAATGGATCCTAAACCATCTTTTATAAGTCTTAATGTTATACGGATACACTGTGCTTTAAATTGCAGGTAAATGCGCTAATTGACAAGAACACATTGTGTGGCTTTTGGCCTTTTAAGCACTTGTTGAGCCAGATTTCTGCTTCGAAACCACAGCTGATACACCAAGTTTCTCATGCAACCAGCAGCTGCTCTCACTGTGGGAACTGCAACAACTTTCTTGTCTTTTCTGGACAAGCACAAGCACTGTCAATTTGCATAGTTCTAATGTCCAAATAAAAACAGACTTACACTGGATCAGTACGATGAAATACTGGAAAAGAGATGTGTAAACAGAGCTCAGGAATGCTAGTTTCCTTTTGACAGCTACACAGTTGCTGTAGACAAAGCCTTGAAAGCATGTCTGCAGAAAACGTCTGACATAGAATAAAAGCTGCACCTAAGGCATTTGAAAAATTCTTCCTGAACAGTTCGCTTGTGTGAAAATATAACAGCTTATGATACTTTCAAGGACAATTAGATCCGAAACAAGGACGATTAGGTAAGGTCCAACTACACAAAATATGCAGATGGGACAAACTGTAAATTGCCCATTGCCTGCCTTAACTCATTTACACAGCTACACAAAATCTTCCAAAGAACTTAGAGACAAACAGTAAAATAATTTGTTTCCTTGAGCTGATTACACACACTTCCAGAAAGATTATTTCTCACAGTCAACATAGGCATTGCCCTCACACTTGCAAGGAACTCCACTGAAATGATGTAGCAGATCTGCAAATTTCTGGTGTTCATAAAAACGTCCATATTTACCCAGATAACCGTGGACAACAGTTCTCTTCACTGTATAACGGCAACAACCAAAGACAGTTTACTTTTATTAATCATCCTCAACATAGGAGGAAGCTTAATGCTCAGTAAATGATCAATAGACGAGGGATTTTTCTGCTAATTGTCCACAAATAATTAGTAAATACTGACATCTCTTTGGTTTTTTATTACACAGCAGATCAGACATGTTCTTAGTACTTCCTAAAAGTAATTTAACTTTGTTCTTTTCCACCTAGGTAATTAAAAAACTGGACCCTTATCTCAGGAATTCAGTGCACAGCTTCCCAGCTGTGTTCCTCAGATTTCCAATTAACTCATCTTTCCTGAATTCTGTTCCTGCATGCTTTGATATACTTCCTTAACTTTCTGGAGTCATTCTGTTGATTGCAGTTAGACTTTTCTTGGTAATAAGACACACAGGTAAATGGTGGCTGGACTAGATTCCTTTGCATAAAGACAGTTATCAAAGAAGGGATATTATTTTTTCCTTTCCCTATACAGTTAACATGCTTTCTACTTGATGGCCACTTGGTCAACATCTTCAGATGCAGGAATAATACCTTATCTTTAAAGCTCAACATAAGTAAGATTAGTGAACCTATTTTGCACTGAATACCTTTAAGAATACAGGCTTCCTCGATAATATGAAATATGTATCAGCTACAGGACTGAAAAGACAGGTACGAAATCCACCCACAGATTTACTCTGCATTGCTAGAAATTTTTACATTTAAATCCTTCTAAGGAGGATTAGAAGATTTTTCTTTAGAAGAAAATAGCTTTCAGCTAAGAGATATTTTATAACACAAACATGGGTCCTGTATCATCGTTTAAAATTCCACTTTCTCTAATAGCGATGTGACTGAACTGGAAACGTAACAAAGGCTACTACTGTTTTACTACTACACTGTAATCGTGTTCTAATGAATTCAGAAACTTCTGGATTTGAAAAGTTCACCAACTGAATGAAAAGACTTAAAAATCATCAGTTCCTACAGAATTTGTGATTCAAGTAAGGCAAAAGTTAAATCTATATCAGTCTTCTATGTGTGATCTGAATACATCAGATCTGCATCACCCTCCTGAGCTTGCAGACAGCTCAGCCTAGGACCTCTGTAGCTAATCAAGAGCTTTCATGAGAAGCAGCAGCAGGGGGAAATTGATAAATGACTGACTAGTGTCACTGACACCATCCAGAACCATTTGGGCAACTGCACAACTTAGAAGAATCATATCCACATCATTTTTCCTCTGCTTGCTTGAGAAAGCTCCTGGCAGGATTATTGTCTATGTAATGACAGCCCTGGGCTTCCTCCGTTTCTTTCTCTCCTTTGACGACAAGGTGACCCACTTAGTAGATGAGGGAAAGGCTGAGGGTGTTGCTACTTACACTTTACTAAAGCCTTTGACCTTGTTATCACAGTATTCTCCTGGAGAAACTGGCTGCTCATGGCTTGGACTGGCATAATTTTCACTGGGTAAAAAACCTGGCTGGATAGCCAAGCCTAGAGCGTGGTGGTGAATGGAGTAAAATCCACGTGGCAGCTGGTGTTTCCCAGGGCACAGTATTGGGGCTGGTCCCGTTTAATATCTTTATTAATGATGTGGGTGAGGAGACTGAGGGCCCACTCAGTCAGTTTGCAGGTGATGCCAAGTTAGGCAGGACTAACTGCTGGAGGGTAGGAAGGCTCTGCAGAGGGATCTGGACAGCCTGGATTGATGGGCCAAAGCCAGTTGTATGAGGTCCAACAAGGTGAAGGGCTGGATCCTGCCCCTGGGTCACGAGAACCCCATGCAGTGCTACAGGCTTGGGGAAGAGTGGTTGCAAAGAGGCTCAGTGGAAAACACCCCCGGGGATGCCGGTCAACAGCTGGTGGAACATGAGCCAGCAGTGTGCCCAGGTGACCAAGAAGGCCAAAGGCATCCTGGCCTCTATCAGCAATAGTGTGGCCAGCAGGAGCAGGACACTGTACTTGGCACTGCTGAAGCCACAACTCAAATCCTGTGTCCAGTTTTGGGACCCTCACTCCAAGAAAGACACTGAGATGATGGAGTGTGTCCAAGAAGGGTAACAAAGCTAGTAAGTGGTCTGGAGCACAAGTCTGATGAGGAGCAGATGAAGTAGCTGGGGTTGTTTAGCCTGGAGAAAAGGAGGCTCAAGGGGGATCTTATCATTATCTACAAATACTTGACAAGAGGTTTTAGCCAGGT